AGTCTATGGGCATGACTTACCTCTTGGACACGAGGGCTGATGAGAATATGTGAAGGAAGGGGCTAGATCAGTGGTCCTCAAACTGTGAGTCGTGACCTCTTTGGGGGTCGAACGACCCTTTTTTCACAGGGGTCACCTGATTCATAACAGTAGCAAAATTACAATTATGAAGTATCAACGAAGATAGTTTTATGGTTGGGGGGGCTAGGATCACCAAAACATGAAGGACTGTATTAAAGGGTCATCGTGGCATCAGAAAAGTTGAGACCCACCGGGCTAGATGGACTGAGGTGCAGGAAGGTGTTTGTGAACTCCAGAGCTTGCTACTGGTGCTCATTTGACCTAGTTTATGGCTAGGGCTGAGTTGAACAGAACCCAACCAAGTGAAGAAAATGATATTGACTCTGAATTGATGTACTACATTGCTGTAGTATTGATTGATTGATGATCTGCTCTAGCCTGGATTTTGCTTACGGTTTCAGATGCTCAAAATACGAGAATGAGGATTTTTCAGAACAAAGAATATGCTTGTCTCTTCATACTGGGTTGATGGGAAAGGCAATTCAGGAACTGTGTATCTAAAACAGGAGGCAATAAATGTATGAAGTGGATGACCTGCAAGTGTTTTGTTTTAACTTACCAGTTTTAATGGGTGTGTTTAGTCTCAAAATAAGTGAAACAAGGGAGGATCCCCACTAAATAGTTTTGTCTTTTTCCGATAGGTCTGTGGAAGAGAGGGTAGGGAGATCCAATAAAGAGATTATATGATTAGGTGTGACTGTCAACAGGGCTGGTGGTAAAGGGGGAGGGGGGAACGGGTGGGGAGTTAATTCCTCAAGTCTGAATGGTTATTGGCTAGATGCGCCAGTGGCTGTTCTGAGATGTAGTGAATATGGTCTCTTTAGCCATAATCCTTTAGGTGATGATGGATTATAAATTCTGGTCTTTCTGCCTGTGGCTATAATCTAATTTTTGACAGAGTTCTCGGGTATCTTTATAGGCAAGATTAAATCTCCACTTTAGTAGGGGTATGAACCAACTCACTATCCTTGGTTTCCTTGGGGTATGGCCTGCTGGAAGACAACCACATCTCCATAAAGCCATTCCACTGTGTGTAAGAGCCACCCCAGCAGCAGGATCACAGAGAAAGTCCATGGTCATCGAAGGTGGCATGTTTGAGATCTCTGTCTTTATTGATGGAGGCTGAGACCAGAGGCTGCAGCACAGAGATCATGTGACAGTACAAAAGAGCCAGGTCAGGACCAGAGGCCAAGGCAAGGAGACCATGAGAGGCATTGAAGAGGAGAGGCACTGAGACTGAGGCCATAAGGCAGAGGAATGGGTTGCTTTCCTGGCTCAAGGAGGCAGAGGACAAGGGGCCACATGGCAGAGAGCCTAAGGACTGGCGAGAGATTTGGGTACTGCCTGAGGAGAGGTTTTGCTCTGGACTAACGACTAGATCCTTATTGTTTGCTGATTCTGACTTGTGGTAGTGTTACCTTTCCAAATAGACCCTCAAAATTGTGAGTATGGTCTGTGAGTTGTGTGGCCATTGCCACAAATTATCCCACTTAGTATAATAGAAATAGAGCACAGTGAGAGGAATGGCTGGTGTCAGAATAGGTGAAGAAGGATGGAGGCATGTCGGGACCAGCCTCGTGGCATTGAGAGGCCTGAGGAGGTCAGATATGGCCCTTTGCACATTTTCTCAGTAAGACACCATTTTAGGTGCCTTACATAGGTTATACCCATTAATTCTGACAACGGTCCTTTGGTGTAGGTAGTGTTTTTCAGATAAAAAGACTTGGTCTAAAGCGGTTGTCCAAAGTTACGCAGTGCTGGCCCTCAGGCAATCAATCTCCTGTAAGGTATGAGCTCTTACCCTTTCTAGAAACCTGTTGCTCAAAGAATTCTCCTGTAGAACAAGGGCTTCTTGGAGGAACTGAGCAGTAGATCCTCAGTGAGAGAGTAGTCAGAACAGTTACTACCTGAAAAGCTGCTGGGTATGTGTACGATTGGGAGACACCTGAATTCTGGTACTGCCCACTACAAAATGCTGGCTAGCCAGATGATTCCCTGGTATCCTTCTAGTAAAGCAAATGAACGAAAACCATAAACCCTCTCTGCCTCCAGAGATGTCCTTTATAGATACTAACATACTGTTTGGGGTGGGCAGCAGTTACTGAGCAGTGATCTAAGTCCTTTACTTGGTTTTATAGTCACAGCACACACATGAACCCTATATTTAAGGGCAGGAGCAGGAAAACTATTCCAAGAGACACTAATGTGATTACTGATGTAAAGGACAAACAATCAGGGCACCCTCTACCTTTTATTTTTCTGGTTAACACTGATTCTCAAAGCAGGAAAAATTATACTTCATATGAAAAAGCAAAGCTAGTGTGTAGTATATTTAACACAATTTAAGCCTACAAGGAACCTAGAAGGCATTTTGCTGAACAAATAATGAGAAGCTGGGCTATAAGAAGATGGCATCAAAATTGGAGGAAGGCTCATTAACAACATGCTGCATGCAGATGACACAACCTTGCTTGCTGAAAATCAAGGACTGCTGCAGTTTTCAGTATGGATTATAAAGTAAAGAAAATCAAAATCTTCACAGCTGGAACATTGACAACATTATTCAAATTTTCAAGGATTCCATTTTATTGAGTCCACAGTCAATGCTCATGGAAGCAGCAGTCAAAAAATTAAAGTGTGTTACGTTGGGCAAATCTGTTACACAAGACCTCTTTAAAATGTTAAAAAGCATAGATATCATTTTGAGGAGCAAGGCATGTCTGACACAGCCATAGTATTCTCAATCACCTGACATGCATGCTAAAGTGAGAATAAAGAAGATTAAAGAAGAGCTGATGCCTTTGAATTATGGTATTGTAAAAGAATATTAAATATATGATGGAAGATCAAAAGAAATGACAAATGCTTCTTGGAAGCACTGCCATATTCTCCTCCGGAAAAAGACATCATGCTTGAAAAAATAGAGGGCAAGTGAAAAAGAGGAAACCCCTCAATGTGATGAACGGTACAAGATGGGCAGTGTTGCATTCTGTTATGCATGGGTGGAGAAGAGTCAATCTACTCGACAGTATCTAACAAAATAAATATATTTACAGAGTATCTTTTATATGTCAGGTATATATATATATAATTTAATCTTTAAAAAAGTTCACAGGTTATTTTGCAGATGAGTAAACTAAGGCCATTAAAGTGCCCTGGTGGCACAACTGTTAAGTACTCTGCTGCTTACAGAAGAGTCAACAGTTAGAAAGCTCACTGGCTCCACGGGAGAGAAGTGGCCATCTGCTCTCATAAAGACTACTGTCTAGAAAATCCTACGGTGGCCCTTCTACTCTGACTGCACTAAACAAAAAACTAAGGCCCAGGAAGGTTACATGGTTTCAACTCTAGCCCTATTTTGTTACCAGCTTCCACTACATCAATCATCTTACCTTTTAAAGATAAAGCCTGATGCACTTAACCTTTAAATAAACATAAACTCTCCTTCATACTCCACTTTCAAGCAGGGCTTTGACCAAGGCATTGGAGGTTCCATGTCCCCCCACCCCCTACCCCAACCCTCAGGTGCAAACTAGTATCCTTAGGAGACAAACTCCGCCCTTACTCTTCACACAGTGTCCAAGTGCTCTTCGGAGGGAGTTTCCATCCCCAGGTTTCAATCAGCAAGGTCAGAGTTCAGGTAATTTAAAACGAACGCTCAACAGGATTGGCAGATTTACTTTTAGATCCCAGAACAATACAAATCATGAGGTCCAGATTACAAGGACACTTTCATGACCGACAGAATTAATTGCATAAAGCTTCTGTACTCCACTTCCGCTAACTCTATGACACCACTATTTCTAACCATCAACTTATTTCAGACCGTCTGATCTAATATATTTTTCAAAAGCCTCGGAAACTGGCGAGTAGGAGGTGATAAAGTAAGACTGTCCTCTAAACGCACACATTTTATAGAGCTGTCATGAGTCAGATTGCCTAGAAGGCAGTCTTTCAGATCCGTCTCCTCCAACAGCAACTAGGCTAACTCGAAATCGACGGTGTCACGCGCAGGAGGTGGGCTTCACATGCATCCACGAGCAGTTACCATGTGCTAAGTTTCTTCTTGAGTTTGCCCCAAAGCCATTTCGTTTTCCCTCGGAAAGAAATCTGGAGCCGGACTCTCAGATGCGGTGCTGCACGCTTAGCTGTCCAGCGCTCGGAACCCTTTCCTGTAGCTGCCTCTCATCACCTCCCCGGGGCCCTCGAAGAAAACCCGCAGGAGCCACCCGGGTGCTGGAGCACCAAGCGTCTCCAACAGAAGGCCGGCGGCGGCCGGGCTGGAGAGCGGCGGGCAGGGTGC